CCCCATTCCGTTTCACCACCCCCTCAAAATAAATGTTTTAATATGAGTGTTGGGACCTTGTTTCCTTGGGTCATTCGGCCCCCTTTGTCAGCTACGGCCTGCAATAATTCAGTCCGAGCCACGTGCTGGGAGAAGACATCCGGGGCTTTGGGGAGGGGGCTGTTGAGCAAAGGCCTCTTTCATTCCAAGGTCATGGGAAACACCTCAATCAATCCAAGATCTTTTGACCATATAAACGTGTGAGGAGGGCCAAGTCCCCGGACGCCCCACCCACACAGAGGCCCGGAACCGCCGGTGGCTCCGGCCACGAGACTCCACGTGTTGCTGGGAGCCCCTTTCAGAGGTTGGGCTGCTTGTGATTGAGGGCTGGGCTGGAAGGAGGGGGCCGCTCTCCCAGGTCATGAAGGGCAGGTGGGGGCCCAGGTCCTTTCACAGCTGGCCCATCCTGACTTCACTGGCCACATGGCCACCCAAAACGTCTGGGGACCTGGGGCGGGGCGGGAGGAGGCCCTGGGGTTCATCCAGCCCTTTCTGGAAAGGTTGCGTGAATGCAGCTCACCTACCCGGAAAGGGCTGCCTGACCTTGTTTTCCAGGAGGGAACGCAGCAGCACGAGAGCCCTGAGGTTGCCCCCCCCCCCGTGTTCGGACTGTGCAGCTGAGGCGGACCAGGTTCCTGCTCTGGGAAGCCCACAAGCTGATGTGAGGGCCAGGGCGCTTTCAGCCCTTGGTTTAGGCTTGCCGTCCTTTGCCTTCAGGCTCTCAAGGCACGGACACTGGGGACACATCTCCGTTGTGGCCAGGAAGTGGCGTACGCTCAGGCCATGGAGCCGGTCTGGCTCCGGCTCAGAGCAAGTCCCATTTAGGCTTCCCAGGGGAGCGCCCAGGCAGTGATTCGCCGGCCTCTGTGCTGGCTTGTGGCCCAGGGGACCTCCCTGTTCCGGTTCCCCCTTGCCCCAGCCCCAGCCCCCTGCAGCCGCCGGAGAAGCCAGGGGTCCCTCCTGGGAAGATCTGCTTGAGCCGCTTCGTGTCGTCTGTCTGCGTCGTCTCTCGCCCCGCCTCCTCTCTGAATGGCTGCAGGTGCCAAGAGGGAAACCCAACATCCATGCATCGTGCCAACTTTCTTGGGCTCTGCTGGGGGCCCTCTTGGCGCACGGTGATAGGGTGGCTGTCCTTGATGGCTGGGGCTGTTCTGCATGCCATCCCCCCCCGGCTCCTTTTTATGCAAATTCTTTATGAGATTTGCCTGGCATGAAGGCCTGGAGTGTTTCTTGAGAGTAAACCCAGCTGGTTGGATTGGCAGCTAAATCCAGGTCTCGGTGGCCACGTGAAGTCTGGATCTGAAGCCTTAGCAGTGGGCCAAGCCATATCCCATGAAGACTGCCGTGTTCCCAAGTGATGGGAGGAGGGAAGTCCAAGGATCGTGGGAATGGCTCTCTCTCTCTGTGTGTGTTTCCTCTGAAGCCCCCTTGGCCCCCATGTGCTTGGGAGGGCTGGCACACCTGTGAGCTCAACAGACTCTCTTCTTCTTTCGTATGCTTCCCCTGGTGCAGGATGGATGGGAAGGACCTCGGAGGCCATTCCTCATGGAGAGGACTCCGGCCCTCTGGAGACAGGACATCCGAGGAGCCACGGAATTTGCCTCAGGCTAGCGGGCTCGCCCTCACCATGATTGTGACGGCCACACGACCAACAGACTCTTCCATCTCCATCTTTGCACTTCTTCCAATAATAAAAAAAAACACAAGCATCCTCCCCGGTGTCCGATGGGTAGCTCACGGCAGCTCAAAGTCTCCAGTTTCTATGTGTTCAGGGTGGGACCCACTTCAAGTGGGGCTTCTAAGGTCGCCCCCCCCTCCCAGGGTCTCCCTTTGAGAGCCTTCCGACTGGCCGATGGCCCCAAGAGAAATCTGGCTTTGGACCAGGTGGATTGTGGAGACTTTTCCTCTTAAAAATCTGCCAGGAGGTGCTTTTAACTTGTGAGGCTTCAGGAAAGCGTTTATGAATGCCAGCCGGGAAACCAACGCTGCGCCAACGTGCCCTGAGGTGCCAGGCTAGGCAGTCCAGCGCTCCAGAATGCACAGGGGCCCTTTTTATAAGGTGGTTCCACAAACCATCGTAAACCAGTCGTTCGGCCCTGGTCTTCCTTTCAAGTTCTCTCTTGTGGTCTTTCTCTTTCAGGATGTTTCTCAAATTGTAACCGTTTCCTTCTTCATCTCTGGCTTGCCCAGCATGAAAATGAGGGCTAGGCCTGATCCCTGACCTTTCGCCGGGGTTTTATTCAAAGAACACGGTGCCCGGGTTGATTGTACCCGGAAGCTGCTTTGGTTCCTCTCTTCGTGAGGAGGGCCTCGTCAAGGAAGGGCTCTGTTTCCCATCAGATATTTCACTCGCTATATTAAGGCACACTGGCTATTTCTAGCCCCTTTCTATGTTCACTGGCTAAATTCCAAGGCGAATGGCCATGGCTCAAAAGTTGACGGCGGGGAGGGACGGGCGGATGCGGTTTGGAAGCCAACGGTCAGGGGCAAGCCAGCTCCCTCGCCAGGTGGGCGCCCGCTGGGGAGTCCAGTCACCTGTGCTCTGACCTCCGTGTCACACACAGAGCGATGTCCCCCCCCAGGGGGCTACGAGTGGTCCTTCCAGGCCCCACAGGCCTTGGCCAGAAGCTGTGGGAGGGCCTGGCACCCCCCCCAGCCCACCCTGTGCCCCAAGGGTGGTGGGGGTGGGGGTGGTGGTAGTCATGAGGAGAAGGCAGCGGCCCAAGGCGGCATCTCTGCCCCTTTCTGCCCCCTGGCACAAGGCAGGCCAGGGGGCCTCCTGGAGGCAGTGGCAAGACGGGCTCCCCCAGCCGGTCAGCTGGCCGGAGGGTCTCGGTCCGCCTCAGCCTGTGACCTCCGCTGGCTGCTGGGCCTGGGAGATCACACCCGGGCCTCTTCCGGGGTGGGGGCAGGCTGGGGCCACAGGGGGCGGTTGGGAGGGGGAAGAAGAAGAGGGACTCTGTGTGTGTGTGTGTGTTTGTGTGTGAGAGAGAAAGAGAGAGAGAGAGAGACTGTGTCTTAATTATTAGGAATTATTAATTATTAATTATTAAGAACTGAGACACAGGGCTGATGCCCCCCCACTTCCTCCTGCCGTGGGGTCGTCCTTTCAGCCACACCACTGCCTGACCAACCGATTGACTGACCAGCGGCCCGTGCATCTTCAGGAGACTTGGCGAGGGAGAGGAAGGCTTCTCAGGGCCCCACCTGTGGAGCCTCACAACCGAAGGGGCAGGAGAGAGGCTGGCTGCTTTTCCATCTGGAAAGTCACGGTACCTGCTCAGCTGGGGGTGTGTGTTTCCTCCATCAGCCCCCCAACAAAGGCTTGGAGGGTTCCCAAGACTTGGTCTCTGCAGGGGGACCCACTTCACCCTTCCCTCCTCAAACCACACCTTTCCAAGCCAGCCGGGTGGAGGTGTTTGTAACACCCCACTCTCCCCAAGGGACCCTGGAGGGCAAAGTTTTCCTCCTCCTCCCAACATCTGGCCGAGGTATGGGCACACACGCGCGCGCGCACACACACACGATCTGGCCTAGGTATGGGCACGCGCGCGTACGCACGCACGCACACACACACACACACACACACACACACACACACACACACACACAGAGAGAGAGAGAGAGAGCAGCCAAGGGACTTTAGCTTTGCCTGCAAAAAAAAGTCATCAAAGCAAGAATGCACTTAATTACCCAACAATTAGGAGCAGATTGAAGAGAAGCTGCCTGAACAGTGTGAAATGTCAGCATTGTGAGGACTCACAATTTCCTGTTTACTCATCATCCACCTGGCCTATTATTCTAAATGTTCCTCCCTCATTAATTAAGACAAAAGCTTTGCAGGCGGAACAGGAGGGCTGTTTTGGACTTGAACAAGTGTTTTGACAATATTTAACTTCCCTGCATCAGGCTTGCCTTGGCTGGGGGAACTTTCCTCCATGGTGGTGGCCTTATTGTCCTGAGAGATCCTGCACAGCAAGGATGATGATGATGAGGAGGACGAAAATGATACAAGGCCCATCTATGAGGAGGCAGCACCAGCCCCACCCAGACGGATGGTCTGGCCTTTCTGTCCCGGAAGGAGCAGCAGCCCGGCCGGCCCCCTGAATCATCAGCTCTTCGTCCTCCCCCCCTCCTGCTTCTGCTGGAAAGTCTGGAACTGGGGAGGGGCTGGGGGGTCAAGGGCAGGGGTTTGATGGGGCCGAGGAGGGCTGGGCCAGAGGAGGGGTTCGGCACCTCCCTCCCTGCCTCCCACCCAGGCAGGCAGATCCCTGTGGGCACCTGGGAGCCCTCCCCTCCCCTCTGCCCCAGTGAGGAGGCAGGCAAGAGAGGGAGGGCCCAGGGACCCCTGCCCCCCTCCTCCCCCTATGTGGGGTGCCATCCCTCCTCACTCACATGGGAGAACCAGCCACTGATTTCAGCTCGCTCCCCACTGTCCAGTGGCTGCTTCTCCCATGAGTGAGGAGGGATAGCACCCCACATGGGGGGCATCGGGCGTGTTACCCCCCTGCCCTGCCCTGCCCAGCGCTCCCCCCAACTGGTCACCTGTTAGTCCAAACTGGATTGGTCAAAGGGAGCAAGGGGCAGGCTTGAAATGAGCAGGGAGGCAAAA